AGCCTATAACTTCTCAAAACGCTGGCTTGCATCCATAGATGCTTCTCAAGCAAATCCCGGGACGTCATTCTCCCCCTGTACTCGGCCTTCGTGAGGCCGCAGCTGGAGTACTGTTTCCAGTTTTGGCCTCCACAATTCAAAAAGGATGTGGAGAAGCTTGAGAAAGTCCAGAGAAGAGCCACGCGCATGATCAGAGGTCAGGGAAGCAGACCCTACGATGACAGACTGAGAGCCCTGGGGCTCTTTAGCCTGGAAAAGCGCAGGCTCAGGGGTGATCTGATGGCCACCTACAAGTTTATCAGGGGTGACCACCAGCATCTGGGGGAACGTTTGTTCACCAGAGCACCCCAAGGGATGATGAGGTCGAATGGTCACAAACTACTTCAAGATCGTTTCAGGCTGGACATAAGGAAGAACTTCTTTACTGTCCGAGCCCCCAAGGTCTGGAACAGCCTGCCACCGGAGGTGGTTCAAGCACCTTCATTGAACACCTTCAAGATGAAACTGGATGCTTATCTTGCTGGGATCCTATGACCCCAGCTGACTTCCTGCCCTTTGGGCGGGGGGCTGGACTCGATGATCTTCCGAGGTCCCTTCCAGCCCTGATATCTATGAAATCTATGAAATAATGTGCAAGGAAAGAAGATCAGGTTGGCCTCTAGATAACCCCCTCATTTGAAAGGAAATTTCAGATTTCCAATAAAACATAAGTAAAAAATGGTTTAAGCCTTTAACCTGTTTCTTTCTTTAAGTGCTGCAGGTGTAGCCTTATTTGTCAGATCTTTTGTACATACTTCCTGAACTATAATTGTTTCTTCTATGGGTACTGAAAAGGTACAAATGCAAGCTAACTCTGAAGTCACTTGGTTCTTCAGCTTTCTGATTTTTAAAATTATTTATCAGTAGTTATTTAAAGAAAAACATTATTGTGTTTATACAATGGGAACTTGATTTTGCATGAAAATACAATAGCTATTTTAATTTTATAAAGACAAATAATTCCGTATTCTAGAGGCTGATATATTTACATAGAAAAAAATCAGCTTGTCTTCAGAGTTGTGGAGTGTTTGATAAAAAGTAGTGTGTGGATGATAAGGACAGGGGATTTATGGATAGAAAGAAAATATTACCTGTGTTTCTACTAAGTAGTATTCAAATCTTCTGGGTTTATTGCAGCTGTCCAATTGGAAAATGGTGTTGTGTTGATAAGAATCATAGTACCATGTCAGGCTTAGAGCTTTAGACCATTTTCATTCTGTTCTTGTGTTCATCACATTATTTTTTTTTACACATTTGACAATGTATCACTGATATTTTTTATTTTATATTGCTACCCACTCACTGAGTTATTGCCATTCCACTGCCGTCAAATGACTTAGCAAAGAAGACATCTACCATGGAGGAGTAAATTGCTAAAGAAAGTTCACAACTAAATCTTCTTTGAATACATTGAAGTACAAACCTGGGCAATTAAGCTGTACATAAGTGTGGAGGTTGCTCTGATGTGCTGTAATTAGTGTGTTGGAACAGACATGATTAATCGAGTTTGCTGAGACATGACAATTACCATGCTCCAGCAGCCTCCCGTGTCTTATGTATCAGTGTCCCCACATTTCAAAATGGCGGTGGGGGTGCTTAACTAAGTCTCATCAGACGCTGATACACAAGATGCTGTGGCACTTTAATTAGAATGGCTCTTGGAGCTTCTCTAATTAAAGCACCGTCCCCTGCACACCCGGAGCACATGTAAAAAAGTGCCCTTAGTCCTTGCAGTTGTCCATGATGTTTAACCTCCTGCTCATATGTCATTAGTAGATGTTTACCCTCTCTTTTTAGGTATTACTATGCTTCCCTTCTCAAATTTCCTAAATCAATGAATAGTAGCTAGAAGTTCTATTAAAAGCATCAGTTCATCAAAACGCTTTAACACACTTTAAGTATCTATATATTCCTAGTAAACGTATTCATATGATTCCTTTTTAAACTGTTCATAATTGCCCCTTTAAACACTTGGACCAATAAGGTTAAATTAGTAGAACTATGGAGACATTTTGAATTTACAATGTTTTTTAATTGCGACCTTTTTTGTGAAAATTTTTATGAAAAATCCCATTTTACCTTCTGTATAAAAAGAATGCCCTACCCAAAATCCTAGAATAAGGGAGGGCTAATAGAATTGCAGTGAAACATGATTATGCATTATTGATTTGTTTAACCACGATGCCAAAGATTGTAGGCATGTACCTGGACCCTATGTTTCAGATCGCAGAACAGAACAAAGACCAGTTGGTCTGCCCCAAAGTTCTAAGTAATCACTATTTTGGAGTCTCTATACATTGAAACTGAGCACTGCTATTAGAGTTGCTTTAAAAAAAAACCCTACAATAAAACTGTTACTTGTTCAGTACATTTCTTTTATTCTCTGTTACCTGCAACTGAATATTTATTACCCAATTATATTTTAAAGTTCAACTCAATGAGTTTCCCTCCTCATGGTTGAATTAACACATTGCTAAGTCTGTTAACCATGCTTCTCCTTTCCTTGATCTGATGTAATTGCTTTTAGGATGTCACGCAAAGGAAATTTAAAAGGCATCGGTTATAACACTTAAACCTGGTTGACCCTATTCCAACCATATGAGTCAGAATGGGAAGTCTAAAAACATGAGCTTTTACCATTTGATGGAATGTAATCACAATAATCCTTTAGAATTTGATCATTCTTTCAAGCGGTTACTGACTTTTTAAGCTCTTTAATTTTCATAGCTCTGTGGTGGTTTATAAGTATGTATATTTCACAAGCACAAACAAACCCAATGTCCCATGAGCAGCATAACTGCTAGTGGGTGACAGTTATTGGTTGAAGAGAAACTTTTTCAAAGAAATAATACCATTCTGCAATATGCTGTACTCCAGGAAATGTTATTTGCAGTGGTCTTCACTTCTAAAATGTTGATTAAAAAAATAGGCTAGCCTGTTAAGATTTGGATTCTTTTTTCACAGTTGATAACCTGTATTAAGTTTTGTTCCTTGTTTGATGTAAGCTATGTTTTGATTTATTCTTTCATTCTATCTTTTTCTTTTTTTTCCTTGCTTGAATTTATGACCCAGCTGTTTGCGTAACTACTTACAAAGAACATGGGTTTAAAAATGTACTTCCTGGTTTCCTTTTGTATTGGTCCACTCTTTTCTTATCTGAAATGTTTCAGACTGGAATTTTCAGAAGATCAGTAAGGATTTAGGAGCCCAAATCTCATTAAAATTCAGTGCTCCACTCTTTCTTTCTGAGGTGTACATAACATACCCGGGAGAGTGGTAAAAATATGCATACATTGTTTCCTGTATGGCTGCAATGTCAAATTTCCAAATGTGAAGAAGATACAAACCAATGTCGTCATGTCTGCCTGAGTGTGCAGAGAACCTGAAAATACTGTAAATGTTCCCATTTATCTCTATGGAGCATAAATTGCGAAGGCTGGATGGAAATTTAAATGTTAGCAGTAACTAACATCTCACTGCTTATCATTTTAGCAGAAACACCAGACTAATGTTTTTTCTATGTTTGAAAGCATTGGCAGATTGTTAGATAAGATGCAGTGGGCAGCTAGTTACTCTCAAGTATTGATGGAGTAAGAAATTAGACGTTCACACTCACTGTACATAAAATATAATGTCACCTCTACCTCTGGGAGAAAAGGAAAGAGGAGTTGTATCTCTTTTTCCTCATATATTGCCTTAAGACTAATTCCCAACTGTATACATTAGGGCTATGCGAAGCGTTAGGTGCTGATTTGATTTGGAGGAGATTTGGTCCGATTTAGCAGCTGAATCTCCAAATCCAAATCAAATTGGGAGACCAATAAAAATGTCTGAATCGATTTGAAACTCTCTGAATTCATTCAGAAAAGATTCAGAGAGCTTCAGAGTTTTGGGCAGTCCCCACCACTGCCACAGGGAGCTGGGCCCAGATTCCGTGCCAGTAAGTAGGGAGTGGGGGGTGGGGGCTGGAGGAGGAGGGCAGGGACCATGCAGGGACCCCCGCCTGGCCCCATTCCCTGCCTGCTCCCTAAGCCCCCCTAAGCACCTCCTGACTTCCGCCCCCTCTCCCAGTCCCATCAATAGCTGCCCTGCTCGGCCCTAGCGTCCCAGCACTTAACAAAAAAAAACCAACCCCCAAATTCAACAGCTGCTGCTAGGGAGGGGGGGCAATACCTGTTACCCCTCACTGCCCCGCACTGCATGGGGGGTTCTGCCATGAGCCCCCATCCCCTGCCTGCTCTCCCAGCCCGATCAATAGCAGCCAGTCGGTGAGTGCAGGGCTTTTTTATTATTTTTATTTTTTATTTTTTTTAAGAGCCAGGAGGCTGGGGCTGGGCAGGGCAGCCATTGATGGGGCTGGGAGAGCAGGGAGGGGAAGGGGCCTGTCTGATTTGGAGATTCAGCCTATTCGGCGGTGGCCGAATCTCCAAATCAGATTCGGACGAATCGATTTGGGATAGTGATTTGAATCACCAAATCGAATCACTGTCCCTCAAATTGGCCGAGTCCAAATCTGAAGAGAATACTAGTGGCTTTGCACAAGCCTAATATACATACATTTTTGAGTGCTGAAAATTATGACTTTCCCCCACATAATTGTCAGCTTATTTATAACTATTTCAACATTGTTAGTCACATGTTGTCAGTACGATCTGCAGAACATTATGAAATCTAGGGCATTAAAACTGAGTTAAAATGTAATCACCTCTACACTTGTACTTAAAAGGGTTGGTGTTTCCAACATGTACAACACAGAGAGTTTGATAAAATATCAGTTTAGAGACATGTTTCATACTTGTGTTTCAAGTGCCATGTTAAGGGTATCATTAAGTAAACATGCGTTTAAGTATAGAAATATGATGTACACAGATGTACGTACATATAATGAATATTGTTCATATTATCACGTTATTAAAACATTTATACACAATTCATATCATTTAATCATTTTTATATTATAGCAGGTCACAAGTGTAAGATGAATGGTGGGTTAGAGGGTCCCACCCAGAAAACTGTTCAAGAAGCCAGGGAACAAAGAATTGCATATACTGGAGTTGTACCACATGATCCAGCCAAAGATCCAACAAAGCAATTGGGCAAAAGATATCCAAAGGTATGAAATCTTTACTTCATTTAGTTAAAATATACTTTTAAAAATTGTTTCCTTTTCGTTTTCCCTGTTCTGCTTGAGGAATTGTGCTAGGGTTTCTCATTTTTCCTCTCATGTTTTTACTGTGTGTTAATTTCACTTGAGTTTTGTTCTCACTTTAATATAAATTAAAATGTTATAGCCATTTTACCAGTCTAAGATTTAGAGTCACAACTGGGACTATGTAATGATTTTTTTCCAAATCCAAGTGAAAAATCCAATACCTAAAATTTTGGAAGGCTCTGAAATTGCTGCATGAGTTTACTCTGACTTAGGGCCCTGCCATGGGATCTGAGGCAATAATTACACCTCATGCCATTCGACATGTGCATGCTGATGTGCAAGGCAGGAGGTATGATTTTGAATCAGGGCTCAGCTCATAGTCATTCTCTTTTTACCTGCCAGTGCAGGAGAGCCAAAGCTCATGATCTCAGGCTTCCCTGAACTTGCAAGGTGGGTGTCAATAGCCTAGTGTGACTTGGTATGGTCCCAGGGTGGGGCTGACTTCCTCAGCTTCCCTGGTCTCCCACTGGCTCCAGACAACAAGTAGGGTGGGAGCAGGGGTGGGGGTGGGACAGAGCTGCAGCTGGGTGGGAGCATGGGGCTGGAGCTGGCAGCACCACGGAGCCCATACCCAGTGGGGTAGAGCTGGGGTGGAAAGTGTGTGAGGGAGGGTGGAGAGGGTGTGGGGAGCCCCCCTCATACACCATTCCCACCATGGTGTGCATCCCTTGCAGGTGATGGCAGCAGCAGGCAGGGGTGCTCAGGGCACTGGTGCCCAGCAGGGTACAGCTTCGGCCAGTGCTGCACATCACAGTGAGGGGTGCAACCTCTGCTGGGCAGTCTGCATCACCAGTGCTCCCCACCTTTGCTTTGTGCAAGCCTGGGGGTACATGCCCCCCATGTCTTCCGGGGCTGTGTGCAGTGACAGGAACTGCTTCTTCCCTGTAGCCCCCAGACAAGCCGTTCTCACTCCGTACCCTACTCTTCTCCGGCTGCGCAGCACCTGCCCCTGCCCCAGCCCCAGCCCTGCTCTCTCCCTCACCACAGGGGCCTTGATCTGCCCCCACTACCCCTTCCCTCCCCCCTGCCCCTTCCCCCACAACAGTCTTACCAGCCAGACACCACTCTCCATGCTGCCTGGTTGCATAACAGAATCAGATTGGTATTGGCTGATATGGCTTGTTAAAAATCAGCCATTGGTATTGGCCCCAAATTTTTCTATTGGTACACCCCTAGTGTGCTCATATTACGAAAAAGTCCAATAGTGTACCTTGTTGTACCAACAAAAGCATCATTTGTTAATTAAGGAAAGTGATTCTTCTACTCTATTCAGCACTGGTTAGGAAATATTGTGTCCGGTTTTGGACCCCATGCTTCAAGAAGGATATAGATTGGAAGGAGTCCAGTGCAGAGTAAGTAAAATGATTATAGGTCTGGGAAGTATGACTTATGAAGAAAAATTGAATGAACAAGGGTTATTTAGTTTGGGGAAGAGAAGACTGGGGGTGCATTTGATAATAATCTTGAAATACCTGAAAAGTGATTACAGAGAGGATGGAGATGGGTGTTTCTCTGTGGCCATAGGAGACAGGACTAGGATCAATGACCTCAAGCTGTGGCTAAGGAAAGTTAGATTGGAAATTAGGAGAAACTTACTGGCTATGAAGGTGGTTAAGGATTGGAACAGGCTACCTACAGATATTATGAAATTTCCATCCTTGGAAATTTTCTAGAGCAGCTTAGACAGACATTTGGTTAGGATGGTCTGGTCTGGGATGATACTGCCTTGAGCAGGGAGATGGACTAGATCACCTTGTGAAGTTTCTTCCACCTCTGCTTTCCTACGATCCTGGTTTGATATCAAAGCTGGGACTTATAATCAGCTGATTGTCAATATAAGCCCAGAGCCAAGGCCGGGGCCACATTGGGACTGGGGCTGACAAGCAGCTAATTGTCAGCACTGTCCCTGGGGCAGCCCCATACATGCCACATGTTCAGTTTAAGGTGCCATAGAAATCAGCCTTAAAAATGTTCCTCATCATAGCTAGTCTGCCATTTTATGGTGCTTTAAATTATTACATAAATTGCGGCACATGTGTAATATGTTGAGGGGCACTAAGTGAGAGCTGAAAACTCCTCTTTGACTTTCTTGGGAAAAAAAAATTGTCTTTAAAAAAATAAATAAATAAAAATCTTGTTCCACTGTTTCCTCTCTGAGCATGCTCAGTGTGATGCCCTCTCTCTCTGCCAAGGCATCTCTTCTATTCCTACTGTAATCAGGTTGTCTCCAGGGGTGGTTGTAAAGCCCCTGGAGTCCTTTCAACCCTTGGCTGCTCCACTGCCTTTGGGCAGTCACTCCTTCTCTTTCCTGCCATGCCTTGATGTAATCTATGTTTATATAAGGGAGGCTGCCCCAGGGCTTCCTGGACCTGGTCTCATTCTAATGATTACCAGGTGTCTGTAGTCATTGCCTTAAGGCAGGGGCAGGCAAAATACAGCCTGCGAGCCAAATCCAGCCAACCAAACCATTCTGTCTTGCCTGCAGGGTCCCTCCAAAAAAATTATTACCCACCAACAACTGCCCCTCTGAAAGCTGGCAGGAGGTGGGCTTTTGGAGGCTTCACACCATCGGACTGGGCAGGCTCTGTGTGGTTTCCCATGTCTTTCACCTGTGCATCAAGGTCATGTGGATTTTTCTGGCTTCACCGTAGCTTTAAGAAAGGAACAAAATTGTTAATGTACTGGACCTTGGTCAGCACCCCAGGGGGGTCTCTCCTGCCACATCTTTGCTGGAAAATTAATGTTAATGGGGAGGAAGGTGGTCTATCCCATCCTTCCTGGTACCTTCCTTCAGTTGTTCCAGTTGTCCTTCCTGCTCAGGGCTCCGCCTTCCCTACACCCCACCTAACGCCAACCAAAGATGTTGTCTGGGCCACCAGCATTAGTCTTATTCATGCTTTGCATTTTTGGCGCTTTTAATTTATTATGGAGGGATCGGGATGTTATTTGACCTGATTATCCCCAGCCATGCTTTGCCTTACTTACGTGTCTCATTGGTCTCAGATTGTCATCTCACCCTTGATCTGAGTTTTATGCCTGCTGTGGGTTGTTTGTTCATCGGTCCTTTCTCTATGTGGTCCTGCCAGGACCCAGTCTGTGTTGTGGATCTCCAAGATCCACAGAGTCTCCTCTGGTAAGTTATAGAGCCATTTCTGGCTCTGGCTCTTCAAGCAAATCCCGCCTTGGGGTAGCCACCACGTCCCTGGGCTGGGACTGTGTTCAGTATCTGGCCCCTCCAGGCTGGTTGGGGACCTCACTTCCAGGTCCTCCCGCTGATTCCCTGCTGATCTTTTTATTTCTGCTTCAGGGTTTCAGGTAGCGAATCGGCCCCGGCACACTGTTATAAGGCATGCCCACGCCAACTTGGAGCCAGTCATGGCTCCTTCCACCTCAGCAGTTTTTTTTTCTTTTCTTCCTTTGTCGCGGCAGCTAGGAACGCCACGGTTTTACTTTCACTTTCTGGTGTGGTGTCCTGCTGACTCCTCTTCTCATCTGATGAGGGTAAGTCTTTTCCACCCTCTGGCCTCCATCACTGTGGGGCTCCCATCACTGCAGGTGGGAGCCATGCGCCATTGGGTCAGGTTGGGCTAGGCCAGCTCTGTCTCCACATGGGCCTTCCTGCACTCCAGCAGGGATCTGCACCTGGCAGCGTTGACTCCACCCAACCCAATGGCACTTGACTTCCTGTGGCTTTCAGTTCACATGCCATCAGGCTGAGTGGGCTCCATGCCTCCCTGTGTGGCTCCCAGCACTGCAGCCGGGAGCATATGTTGTCAGGATGGGCTTGGCTGGCTCCATGCCAGCATATGGGGCTCCTGGCATTGCAGCTTGGAGTGTGCACTACTGGGCTGGGCTGAGCTGAGCTGGCTCTGTGCCTCCACATGCCGCTCTCTGCTGGAGTGCTGGAAACCCCACGTGGAGGCATGAAGTCAGCCTGGCCAGGCCTGGCTTGGCATGAGTCATGCAGCTCCTGCCTGCAGTGCCAGGAGCCCCACATACTGGCATGGAGCCGGCCTGATCTGGCCTGAAGGTGCACACCCACGGGTTAGGCCAGGCTCGCTCCATGCCAGCACATTCAGCTCCTGGAACTTAGCCAGAGCTGCATGCCACTGGGGGGCTCTGCCTGCCACAGGCCATGAGCACCCCAAGGGCCTGTTGCCTGCTGCTGCTGCCACCGGTGGTGAAGGCTGTGCACCATAGCAGGGATGGGAGTGTGGTGGGGAGGCCCAGCCCCCACAAACCCCATACCTATGCTCCCCCACATATTCCCCCAACAAACTCCCCACACTCCTCCACAAACCCCACACTTACCCATACACACACACACACACACATACACACACACACACACAAACACCCCCTCCACACCCCTTCACAAACCTCACACACACATCCCCCAACAAATCCCATGCACTCTCACACTCAGACACTCCACACAGAATATACAATAAGACTTTATTTTGAGCTATTATGCAGTCACCTCTATATACAGTAGGTAAACACACACAAATCTGGACAAAAATATTTTTTTAAATAAAATTAAAATATATTGAAGTACATGTTTGATTTTAAGTATATGATTTGTTTTTATCCAGTTCCAAGATGGGAAACCCTGCCCCCCCGCCCCGAGTACTTCTGGGGGCAAAGGGAGGGACTTCTAGTGGCAGAGGTCAGGGCCTAGGGATGGGACTTCCAGTCCCAAGAGGGCAACCAGGGGGTGGGGCACCTGTCAAGGGCTGGGGCTGCCCTTGCAGCACTTGACAGCTGACCAAAAGTTATTAAACAGTCTTCCAGCTGAAATAATTGCCCACCCCTGCTGATTGTGTAGCTCTGTTCCTCCCCTAAACTACACCCGAAGCCTCTCAGGTGTCATAATTCTGTGTTGTTCTCTCTCTATGCTC